AACACCTGGGAGTTCATGTGTGTTGTGTTCAATCTATAGCTAGGTGGCCCAGGAATAATCCTGATGCACCATTTCCTGGCTGGGCGTGTGGAAGCCGCATACATCCCTGTGTGCCTCAGTTTCCGTGTGTGAACAACTTAGGATGGCGCTTGGCTTGTGCTTGGGCCCAGCAAGTCTTCTCTTATGCAGGTTTTGTGAAACCTCCCAGACACACAGGTTCCTGCTCAGTGTCAGCTGAACAGGAAGAAGCACCAATATTCGGCGGGAAGCAGCTCTGTCTCTGCACTCATTTCTCTTGTCTGCTTTTAATATCACGGTACTGCCAATCAAACCACATGAAAGGTTTGGGGTGATTTGCCGTGATTACTTATGATCCCCGGCCTGATCTCCACACTGGATGGCAATATAAAATCTTTATTTTTTCCTTCATCTCGCTGCCTCTGCATCTCATTTTCAAATTTCTTTTTTTTTTTTTTTTTTTGGTGCTCTTTGTTTCTGGAAAAAGGTTTTACAAAAGTACTCAGCACTTGGACAGAAAGCCTGTGCTCTCCTCAGAAGGCAGTCCAAGGATCTTCCCATGGTCCTCAGTCATACTGGGCTGGGTTTTCACAAGCAGCAGCAGTGGATCCGGGCCAGGTGCTTCTGACACCAGTGAGCACCACGGCTGCGAGTCCCATCATTAGGACTCATATGCTAATTATGCATCTCTTCTTATGCTTCTCTGCTTCTGCCCTGCTGAAGGCTAGTGAACAATGACAAAAGCTAAAATCGTGACTCTCATTCAGATCTAAAATGACCACGTGACAAAAGATTTTACTTAACTCATTAATTGAATGAGGGAACCGGTAAGATATTATAGCCAGTTCAAAAGAGAAGTCAAAGAACCATACATCTGTTCGGAGTGAAGGAATACTGAGACAGATTTACAAGTGGATGTATCAGTATTTGTACCTGGAGACATCCAGTGTCTTGCTTATTCCTAATTGCCTTACAGCCTCTTTACCTTTTGTCAAAAATAATCTCAAAGAGGCCAGGCAAAGTGACTCATGCCTGTAATCCCAGTACTTTGGGGGGCTGAGGCAAGAGGTTTGCCTGAACCCAGGGATTCAAGACCAGCCTGGGTAACATGGCGAGACCTCTTCTATATAATAAAATAAAAAATTTAGCTGGACGTGGTGGCACACGCCTGTAGTCCCAGCTGTTTGGAAGGCTGAGGGGGAAGGATCATTGCCTGAGCCCAGGAGGTTGAGGCCACGGTAGCCATGATTATGCCACTGCACTACAGCCTGGGTGATAGAGTGAGATGCTGACTCAAAAATAATAACAATCTCAAAGACAGCTCCCCCAGAGGACTTTGTAAGCATTGACCTTGTACCATCATCCTTGGTTCCTTAATGGGACCTGGTCTCACCTGAGCAAGGGAGCATCCACTTCACATGACTCTCAGGGAAAGCCTTGGCTGCAAAAACCTTCCCCAACCAGATCCCAGCAGGAAGGAGGGCAGAGCCTTGTGGAAACTTTACAAATCACTGTATTTCCAGGAAAAGTAGACGTCATAAAAGTTTCTGGATTTGGGGAGGAGGGAGAGCAGACAGTAAAAATCAGATATCATTTTTAAACGGTTCATTTCAGCCAGGCATGGTGGCTCACACTTGTAACCCCAGCACTTTGGAAGGCTGAGGCAAGAGAGGATTGCCTAAGCCTAGGAGTTTTAAGACCTCATCTCTACAAGAAATCAAAAAATATTCCAGGTGTCATGGTGTGCACCTGTAATTCCAGCTACTTGGAAGACTGAGGCAGAAGGATCACCTGAGCCCAGCAGGTTTAGGCTGCGGTAGCTGTGATCATGCCACTGCACTCCGGCTTGGGCAACAGTGAGACTCTGACTCAAAAAAAAAAGTCTACTAGGTTGTGAAAGGTTACTCGTTACTTAAGAAGAAAGAGACAGGGCTTCCTTATAGAGCCAGAAAATCAAACATTAAAACAATATTTACAACGCTGCAAAAAACCAGTGACGTGTCCCTCACCGGTTCACCCTTCCTCTTTCATTAATTCTTCTTCCACGGGGTCTGGGGTTAGCAGCCCAATGAAGCTGTCTGTTTCTCAACTAAAAATATTCTCAGAAACCCTGGTCAGCCCACTGGGAGGGTCTGAGCATTGTCTGAACAAGGCCATCAGAAGCTTGTCCCAAAGAGTCTGTTCTTGGGGGGTCCATAGTCCGAGATACCTGGTATGGTCCTTTTCTATGGGGCTCTAAGCCTCTTCATCAAAATCCCATTCTCTGGCCTGCAACTGAGTGCAGAGCCTTCAGGCAAACGTCAAAGTAAAGCAGAACCATCTGTAGATGACTGCTCATTTTACAGGAGATAAAATGAAGGTACAAAGAAGTTGAGTAAGCTGCGGGGGCTGGCGTGCACATGTAGTCTCAACTACTCAGGAGGCTGAGGCAGGAGGATTGCTTGAGTCCAGGAGGTCAAGGTATGATGATGTCACTGAACTCCAGCCTGGGCAACACAGCAAGACCATGTCACTTAAAAAAGTGGAGTAGCTTGCCCAAGTCTCCAGAGGTGAGAACCGCCCCCCCAGGCTGCCTGGCCCCCACACCCTAGTCCCACACTCCTGCTGGAAGAGCCCAGGCCTGTGCACCCGGTGCCCTTGGCAAAACCACTTACCTTCTGGACAAAGTCAAACCAGCCTTTCCAGTCCAAAAAAAACTGAGATTCCATAATCAACTCCCCCCTTTCCTTCGAGATGCTGCTGGTAGATGCCCTCCTTCAAGCCAGCCCCAAGAAGCCCGTGATTTGATGTGGTCTTGTTAGATGTGATTCAAGAGAATTTAACTCCAAGATCACCCCCTGTGAACTCCGAGGGGCTGAAGTAGGACTCCTGCAGGACCAATGGTGCCCTTGGTGCACATGAGAAAAAGCAGCCAGGTTGGGAGGGTGCTTTTTTGAAGGGATCACTTGCTATGGCCATGCAGGACAGAACAAAGGGACCACAGATTCCCCCCACCCCCACCCCTGCCTCCTGCAGGGCTGGTCCCTCAGCTGGGAGACCCCCTAGAGACACACCTTTGAGTGCTCCTAATCTGAGGAATGCAGATTCCTAGGGACAAACCCAGACCCACTGCACGGGAATCCCCAAGTAGGGGTCTGGAAATCAGCATTTCTCTGTCCAGCTGACACTTCGAGGAGCACCTACCTCTTTTGCAGGGCCCTTGGCAAGCTGCCTCCACTTTTCCAGAAGTCTCCAGACAAATCCAGAGTGTCCAAAGACAGAGCCCATCAGGTCTTTCTCCTGCAACTCCTGTCTTCCCCAGCCTAATGTCTGTAAGCCCATGGAGTGAGGCTGCACCAGCTTCACAGGGGTCCGAAAGGGAAAGCCCTTTTTGTCCCCACTCGGTGGTTAAAAGGCTATGACCCAGTCCCGGGCTCTACCATACCACACCCCCATGAGCACAACTAGGGAGGCCATGGCACCGATGTGAACTCGTGCCGAGGAGGACACCAAGGTGGGGGTGAAGGCCTGGCATGTGATCAGACAAAAGCAGGACTCTCTGGCTGCACTGGAGGCCAGGCATTGGGAGGAAAAGAGAAGGGTACCCAAGAAAAGGGAGCTTGGAGCAGGGGCGGAGGCCAAGAGGGGAGAGTCCATGACACTGGAGTGAAGGGGCCATGAGTAGAGGAGCTGGTGAGGATGCTAGCTGGAAGGCACTAGCCCTAGAACCCCACATGCCCAGTCAAGGAGGTTAACCTCTCCTGTGAGCATGAGGAACCAACAAAGTTCCACAAAGAACAGTGGTGCCATGAGGGGAATGTGTCAGGGAACAGGGTGGGCAGGGAGAGGGGTACTGCACCAGTCCAAGTGTGACCAGGGCTGCACCACATCAGCAGTCTTGGGATGAAGCAAATGCCGCAGACGTCAGGGACTGTGCAGACAAACGACACAGGCCACATTCAACCAACCGTCACACCAGTGCAGGTTCCAAGGGGAGTCACTGACTGGGCACAAACAAAGCATGCTGGGTTTGCCTTATTGTTGCTTGTTCAGCAGCACACAGGAAATGGTGTTAGTCACAGAAAGGCTAAGTCCATGAGTAACAAATCTGTTTTCTATATTTCACTGTTTCCAAGGAAAGGAAAACGCAAACTAATCTTAGCTTTAAAAAAAAATGGGGCACTGGGCACCAAGAGATTACCATCTTCTCAGGCCAGTGTGTCTCCTGCAGGGGATAAGGCTGATAAGGCAGGCAGGTGTTTCAGCAGTGAGCCAGGGACACTGTCAAGGGAAACGCCCATTGTGACTGAAGCAGGGGTGTTGGCCAGCCTGTTCCATGCACTGTCTGGGTTTGGAGAAGTCCCCCTCCCTGAGAGCCCAGATGCACGATTGGGATGCGTCAGATTGAAGGTGCAGCCGCAAACCCACCACAGCCATGGTGGGACACACAGGCATGTGCACCCTCACCTCGTGCACAATTCATGTGTCACTGGGGACACCAAGGATCCATGATTGTTATGTGTCATTCTGATCCTCCCTCTTTGACTTAGTCATTCAACCCAGGCCCTCAGTTCCCAAATACAAAAAAGCAATTTTATTTTTAAGTTAATGAGCTTCAATTTGGTTCGATTTTCCGTAATGGCCCCAGGAGCTCATGGGAGATTTGCTGCTCTGCGACATCGTTAAGCCCTGGTGGTAGGTCCCGCTCCACCTGTTACAAACCATATATGTGTGGTCATGATGTTGCCTGCAGACATGGGGATGTGGCAGATCCTTCATTTTTCACAACTCTTTCCTCTGAACAGAAGAGTGATGTTTTTCCGCAACCTGTATAAATCAACCAAATGAAAAGATATACCTGTAGCATCCCAGTGCCTGGGGCTACAGTTTCTCTTTGAAAAGTAAACTTTCAGGTTGAGCTGTGGAGGCAGTACCTGGAGGCTGACAACTCCATGGAAACCTGCCCCCACCTCACCAGCTGGTCGCTCCTGTCTTGCAGGTGATCTTCAGCAAGTACTGCAACTCCAGTGACATCATGGACCTGTTTTGCATCGCCACTGGCCTACCTAGGTGAGTACCCATCCGTGGGCTCTGCTGGGGGACACCATGTGGCCTCCACGCCTCCTCGACTGACCTTAAGAGGAATGTGCTTGGGAAGGACGGGATGGAGCACACAGGGCCCCATGGACCTCACCTTCTACACAGGGGTCTTTCAAAACCACGAACGAAATCCCAGATCAGGCTTCGCTGCAGTCTCCACATCTGCCTGCAGCAGAACTGCCCTCTTGAGTTTGGGTTTTCTTTTTTTTTTCCTTTCATTTCTTCATTCACTTTTGGAGAAAGGAGGGTGGTTGTGTTTGGGTTTGGTCCCCAGCCTTACGTCACCCAAAGGTGGCCTTTCTGTCTCAGGGATCCTGTCCCAGGTTAGTACTGGGCAAATGACTGACTTCAAGAATGAGTTGGAAAGACTGGTAATCTACCTTATAGAGTAATCAGAATTCCCGAAGAGTGATTTACCTCAGTCAGTAGTACAGTAGAGTACATGCATTTTCTGATTATAAGCATTCTAACTTTATGACTATAAAGGGTGATCAGGAGTAGTTTATCTTTGGAATTAACTTTAAAGTTAGGATTGAGGTAGAGAAAGGTGATTGAAATTTTTCACAGACAGGTAAGAAAAGGGAGACCTGAGAGATGAAGTTATGTGCCATTTCAGGAACATAAATGGCAGTTTGTAGCAGTAAAAAGAGCCCACAGCTCAGGGCATCTTTGGGCACCATATATTAAGCACTGTACTAATATGTTACTCTTCATAACAACCCGAGGATTCGGACATCACATCCATTGCACAGATTTTTAAAATTCATAACTGGAGATCAGAGGGCTTAAGTAACTTGGCCAAGGTAACACGGTTTATAAACACCTGAAAGATGAGAGGCTGGAGGAAGATTCATCTTAACCATTTTGTAGGAGAGATGTGTGCAGTTCATATGAACTCTCAAAGAAACTGGAAGTAGAAAGGCAAACTGAATTCATAATCTGCTGATAAAAATGTTAATTTCTATTTTACCACAGGTTTTTTTAATCTCCTGACTCAATAAATTAGACTTGCTCCAGTTCCCATTTTAAATTATTTAAACATCTACAAGCACTTAGAGTTACACACAGCCATTAAATTTTTATTCACAAGCAGAGTCTCAGGGTCCTGAACGTTCTTCCTGTCCACCAGCCCTTGGCCAGGCTGGTACTGGGACTGTGTTCTGGTTCTTTCAGGGTTCCATCCTCATGTGAGAACCACATTCAAGTATGTGTCCCAGAGCACATTTTGGGTGAAAACACGGGTTTGCCTTGGGTGTGTTTTTCAGAAACACAACCATCTCCCTGCTGACCACAGACGACGCCATGGTCTCCATCGATCCCACCATGCCTGCAAATTCAGAACGGTAAGAGGCTCCAGCCACGATGTCAGCTGGCTCTTCTCACTCTTCTCCTGGTGTGTCTGATACCTCTCTACGTGGCATGTGAAAGTTTCTATGATTTTAAAAAATATACTACTACAGGAAAGTCTGAATTTAAAGCAGAGATGGGCCAGGTGCCGTGGCTCATGCCTGTGAATCACAACACTTTGAGAGGCTGAGGTGGGAAGATTGCTTGAGGCCAAGATTTGGAATCAACCTGAATCACAGAGTGAGACCCCAGCTAATTAAACTTTTTTAATTAGCCAGAAATGGTGGTGTGTCTGTAGTCCCAGCTACTCAGGAGGCTGAGGCAAGAGAATCGCTTGAGCCCAGGAGTTCAAAGCTGCAGTGGGCTATGATCATGCCACTGCACCCCAGCCTGGATGACAGAGAGAAACCCCATCTCTAATTTTTTTTTTAAGTGAATGAATAAATAATAAATAATGCAGAAAAGGAGGAGTGAGGGTGAGAGGGTGTGTGGAAGTTTGCTTGAACTTATTCCTTTGTAGAAGAGCTAGTCAATTTCCAAGATAATAACATTGGTAAGCATGGCTCTCCATCCACTTCTCAACAGGAACCCATGAAAAGGTATTGCACAGATGGGGAAACTGAGGAACGGAGGGTGAGCAAGAGTGGTAGAACCAGGCCCCAGGATCCCTGCATGCACCTCAGGAAGGATGGGAGAGATTCCCAGACCAGAACCCTTAGGGACATTTAAAGTTTACCCAACTGGTGCCTGTCACTTTCCCACTTTCTGCTGGGAAAGTGATGCATGCCAGAAGATTCTATGCACAGAAGGGGGAAGGAGGCTGGGGGTACAGAAGGAACAGATGGGGGAGGCCTGGCAAGTCAACAGGAGTCAGGGTAAATGCCTTTGTGAATGTCTGAAATAGGTAAAGAGGACAAGGTGTGACCCAAGGAAGGACTGAGCAGGACCCCTCAGGTCGGTGACCCGCCCCATGTGGAATGGCCTGAGAGTCCACAGCAGTCTCTAATTTAAATTATAAAATGGGGGGGGGGAAACAGGTGAGCCATTGGGCATGGGGTGCCCCTTAGGATCCCTCTGTCTCTCCTCCTCACTGAGCCCTCTGAGGGACTCCATAGTAGCTATGGAGACACTTGTTCATTTGGTCATCAAGGTGTTCTGCAGCCAGGTCTGAGCCCACAGGAAGAAACATGTGCCAGGCAGTCTTAATGATAACATTGACTATTTGGGCTCCACTGATGGGATAATCTGGGACCTCTACTTAGGTCCCCAAGAGCTTTCTCCAACCCAAGGAATACCATAGCTTTTCTCCTTCCTCCTGTGCCCAGAACACAACTTTTCTCTTTTGTCCTGTCCCCAGAAGTCTGCTGTCCTCACCAGTGCGGTCCCTGCGGACGTGGCCAGTGCTGTCCTAATCAGTGAGGTTTCAGTGGACTATGGCTGGGCCTGTCCCAGTCAGCGAGGGCCCAGTGGACCATAACCAGCTCTCTCCTCCTCAGTGATGTTCCAGGGGCCATGGCCAACACTTTTCTGGCCAGCTGCCTTCCCTTTTACCCCGAGGTCTCGGTCAGGCCTCCTCCCTCTCCGGCTGTTCCCATGGGTCTCGCCTCCAGCCCCTAGCCAGGAAGACCATCTTCTGCCCCCACACCCACTGGCTCCGATTCCAGGCTTCTGGACTCCCCCAAAGGCACAATGCTAATTGTCTCCCCAAAGACTCAGAGAGTCTTGCGAATCTCAACATGAGCTGCGGCCCCACTGGGTCTCGCTTCAGAAGGAAGCTGACTGTGTGACCCTTTACCCCTGACATCCACAGACTAAAAGGATCTCATGAGAGGGAATTCCACTTAAATCAGCCTCGTCTGTGCAAGCCAGGTCTCTGACTGAGGAAAGCCACATTTCCTGAATTTAATGAAAACAATTTGCCGAGGTATTCAAAGCAGGTAGGAAATAAGGGTAGCCCATCTGGACCTCTGCTCTGGCCCCAAGTGCCTCACCAATGAAAGAGAGCTGCAGAAACACGAGAAAAAACCCTCGAAAGCCCAAAGAGCCCAAATATCTGAAACACTCTCCCGTGAGATACCAAAATAAATGAGTTTCTGATATAGAGATAGAGACAGAGACAGATGGGGATACTATAGTGGATATCCATAACCACTATATATCCTAGTATATATAGTGGATATGGATATAGATGATATGGATACAGATATAGATGCAGATATAGAGTGTGTAAATATGGATATGAGTATGGATATAGCTATAACCAAATATGGATAATGTAGATCTGGATACGGATGTAGATGTGGATGTGGATTTAGATACAGATATAGCTGGATATGATACAGATGTAGATGATGTGAATGTGGATTTAGATAAAGGTGTCACCAAATATGGATAATGTAAGCTTGAATATAGATACAGATGTGGATATAGAAGGTATAAGTGTGGATATGGATATAACTGGATATGGGGAAGATAGATATGGATATCAGTGTGGATAAAGAGGATATAAATGTGGATATGGATATTGTAGATGTGGATATAGACATTGATGTGGATATGGATTTAGATATAGATATAGCTGGACATGAATAATATAGATATGGAAATGGATTTAGATGTGGATGCTGATGTGACTTTGGATACCGTAGCCATGGATTTAGTAATATATAGAGACACCATAGATATGATCATAGATATGATCATGCAGATCTAGTGGGGAGACAAGAATAGACTCTTGTCTTTCATTGTAAACTGATCCTGACTGGGGCAGCACGTGCTGAGAGGTGGATGCATTTGTCCCCCAGGCTGGTCCCCACATCCTGCACCACTGGCTCATTTATCCCTTTTTCCTCTCCTGCCACCCGTGAGTTAGGGCCTGGCTGAGCTCTGAGCAGCCTGTCTCCAGTCTGCCTCTCCCACAAGGCCGCCAAGTTCAACTTGGCCAGACACTGCCTTCTCCGCGGTGGCCTCTTGATCTGGGCCCCACCGACCTCCGCCCCGTGGGTTTCTCCAACTTGTCCCGTGTCTGTCCCTCCCACCACTCACCTTGTTCAGCCCCACGGGATGCTGTTTTCCCAGCTCATCAGCCCCCCGCCCTTCCTGGAGCACTGTCCAAGCTGCCCCGCCCATCCCAGCCTCCTGTCACTCTGCCTCCCCACTGCAGTGCGTGTCTCCATCTGAAATGCTCCCGCCTACTGATCTGATGTTCTTCATTGCCTGCCTGCCCCCCTGGACATCATCTCTGTCGGGTGAAATATGGCCTTTCTCGCAGCTCGGCTCCCAGCTCCTGGGGGAGGTGGTGCACGCTGGGCACTCATAAAGGTGTGCTGAGTGAAGGACTGAGGGAGGGATCCCTGCTCGCATGTGTCTCCCTTTCTCTACTTCCCCAAGCGCCAGTCATCTAAATGACTCCTATTTTCCATGTCATCATATCTGGTTTGGTGCTTTATTTTGAGCCAGTTGTTCTCAGCTGGTGGCAGTTTTGTTCCCCATGGATGCTGGGCCATGTCTGGTTATCCCCACGGGGAAGGAGATGCTCTTATCATCTGGTAGAGTAGAGGCTAGAGGTGCTGTTCAGCATCCTGCAGTGCACAGGACAGGCTCCAGCAAAGACTTGCCTGGTCTATGGCCAAGGTGTCAGCGGTGCTGAGGAGGGGAATCTGGCTTCCGTGGGCTTCCACCGTTTTCTCTCCAGCTACCCAATCTTTTTGAGTTGGGGTCTCACTCTGTCATCCCGGCTAGAGTACAGTGGCACAATCACAGCTCATCACAGCCTCAACCTCCTGGGTTCAAGAGATTCTCTCACCTCAGTCTCCTGAGTAGCTGGGACTACAGGCTCACGCCACCATGCCTGACTAAATTTTTATTTTTTGTAGAGATGAGTTCTCGCTCTGTTGCTCAGGCTTATCCTGAACTCCTGGGCTCAATCAGTCCTCCTACTTAGGCCTCCCAAAGTGCTGGGATTACAGGCACAGCCAGTTGTCCAATCTTCTAACCCTGTAGTTTTCAAACTACTGTGTCAGCATTCCCCTCACGCCTCCCAGGGTTTGTTGAAGCACAGTGCTCTGCCACTCTTTTTCCTTCCCCTTAGTCTCTGGTTCAGCAGCAGGGGCTGGGCCTGGGCATTTGCATTTCTACACATTCCCAGGTGCCAAGAGGAGGCTGGCCCAGGCTTTCCCGCTGCTCTTCCCACCCAGGGCTTTCCCCTCCCCTTCCACGTCCTCGGCCTTTTCCCAGTGGTGTCACTGACTGTTTTTCACCTTGTCTCACCTGTGGTTTCTGCACATCCTCGGCTGCTTCTCCACTCAGCCCTGTGAGCTATAGTCATGCCCCGAAGTTTGCTTCCCAGCCCTGGCTCCTCTCTCCTCCTGTGCCTCAACAGCCCCAGCAAGACTTTGTGGGGTGCCCAGCGTGTCTCTCCTGCATCCTAGCACCAGCTGGCTGTGCCGTCACCCCAGTCCACAAGGGAGAGGACATCCTTGGCTGAGTTTCATCCTGTGAACATGGAAAGAGGGTGCCCAGAGGTTGGAGGGGTGACTGCCTGAGGCCCCACGCTGCCTGGTGACCCTGACCCTGGAAACCCACCTCCTAGTGTCCAGGCCCAGGGCATCCTCTGGCAGAAAGTGTGTGAGTGAGGTGCATGTCTGGTTGTGCTTTCAAGTATAAGTGTGCACGTTCATTCGCCCATTTGCACAGCGTCCTGCAAGCCAGTTCAACTACACAGTGGCTTTCAGTCCTGGCTACAGAATAAAACCACTCAGGGATTTTTAAAAAGGTACCAGTGGATGCTCAGACCCCTCCTAGAATCAATTAAATCCAGATTTTTAGAATTTTTTTTTTTTGAGTTGGAGTCCCACTCTTGTCACCCAGGCTGGAGTGCAGTGGCATGCTCACAGCCACTGCAGCCTCAACCTACTGGGCTTAGGCTGTCCTTCGGCCTCAGCCTTCCAAGTAACTGAAACTACAGATGCAAGCCACCATGCCCAGCTAGTTTTTG